AATCTGAATTGACTCACATGCTGGCAGGGGGGGCAGAACCATTCCCCATCTGGTATGATCATGAGCGGAGGCCGCAGGCAGGCAGTGTGGTAGCCGCTGTCACAGGAATCACACAGGAGTATCTAGGGGAACAGAAACGAGAGGTTAAAAGCAGCACTTCTGACTGTAACTGTGAGAAGATGAAGATATTTTGCAGAAGTGTGTCACACCAGCTCGGGATGGTTGGGAAGGCCACAGTGTTTGCAGGGGTCGTCATTGGGTTCATCATCTTCTGATGAAGAGGTAGAGGAGTCAGAGCTGTTCCTCTCTTGGTTTCGGTTTCTCCTTCTCTTCCTGGTCTTCTCCACCTTGTAGTCTTCGTCACTGTCATCCTCCTCTGTCTCCTCTTCCTCACTCTCACTCTCCTCGTCAGAACATTTCTTTTTACGTCTCATGCGAGACCATGGCTGTCGTTTCCGACGTCTCCCCACCTGCTGAATGATGAGTTACATTGTGAATGATCTGCAACTATGATCAAAGAAATCTCTACCATTCAAAAGTTTGGGGTCAGTACAAATTTTTTTTTTTAAAGAAATTAATACTTTTATTCAGCAAGGACCCATTAAATTGACCAAAAGTCACAGTAAAGACATTTGTAATGCTACAAAAGATCAAAGAATCCTGAAAACAATATCTAGGCTTCCACCAAAATATTAAGCAGCACAACTGTTTTCAACATTCGTAATCATAAGAAATGTTTCTTAAGCACCTAACCATCATATATGAATGATTTTGAAGGATCATGTGACACTGAAGACTGGAGTAATGGCTGCTGAAAATTCAGCTCTGCATCACAGGAAAAAAATACATTTCAATAATACATATTAAAATAGAAAACAGCTATTTTAAATTGTAGTACTATATCACAATGTTACTGTTTTACTGGTATTTTTTCTCATGTTATGGCCAATAAATTGCACTATTATTGCACTATACTACACTATTTTACCTAAACAAATGGAAAATAAAACACTAAAAACTCAAATTAATAATTTTATTGCTACAAGTGAATTTAGTCCTCACAACATTGCAATGTACAGTATGATAAATGGATATTTATTTTGAGATTTGCTAAAGACACACTTGACTGTTATTAATCGTGTTTTAAAAGATTAACTTTAAATGAGCGTCAGAAAATGGCAAAGATATTCTAAATGTAAAAAGGTACACACACCTTTGGTTTTGTTTGGCCATCTGGCTCAGCTTTCCTTGGTTTCCTCTGTACAATATCCTCATCCTCTTTGTCTTCGTTGTCATCCTTTTCTTTCTCTAACACCGGAGTCGCCTGCTTCCGTTCTGCCCTCCTGTCCTGGATGTCTACAGCTTTAGCGGTGGGTCTGCAGATTCTCGGAGATCTCCTCAAGCACCTGCCATCAGTCACCTCAGACTCTGAATCTCCCCTCACCTCTTCTCTCTGAAGTTCTGCCTTCCGTCTATGAGCTGGGATTCTGATCTTCATGCGAATCCCTTCCTGTCTTCCCATTTCTTCTTGTTCATCACCTGTTTTATCCTCATCCTGACTTTCCTGAGCTTTCTTTGGAGGCCGCCCTGGTCTTTTACTGCTTTTCACAGCAGCATCACGTTCTTCAGAAGTTGTGTCTTGCTTAGATTGTTTGCTTGAGGTGGTGTCTTGATCTACAGGAACATCAGTTTCCTTCTTACTTGCTGTTGTAATATCACATCCCTCTTCAACAGCTGACTGAATTGTATTAGCTTTACTGATCTCTGAATTAACTTCCATTGGCTTCTCTTTGTTCCCTTCCTCTGAATCGGGTTCCTTTTCATGTTCTCTATCAGAGGAAGGTTTCTCCAAACTGTTGGATTCATTGGGTTGTTCTGTAGCTTTAACTTCCTCTGATTTTTTCACTGCAAATTCTTCAGAGCTGTTTGCAGCTTCACCCTTTTCATCCATGTCTTTTGACGTTTCCAAATTCTCATTTTTATCAGTTTCAGCTGTATCACATTTTTCCTCACTGTCTACTTTCTCTGTGGTTTTTAGTGTGCTTGGCTTATTTGTCGAATCAGAAACAGATGATTTTTCAAGATCACTTGATGCTGACTTAGGGGAGGCAGACTGCTCTCGTGCTTTGACTTGAGGGCCATCTGAATCTTCAGAAGGTTTAGAGGCAATGGACTCACTTTCTCCATTGGTTGAGAGTTTGTCTCCTTCAGACATACACTGTTTTTCAGTTTTTGAGACAATGGCAGTTAGTTCTTTTTCTGTGGTGGTGTCTGCAGAGCTGTGATGAGGTTTGGTTTCTTCAGTGTTCTCTGGCTTTTCTGTGCCAGAATGTGGTTTGATTACTTCATGGGAAGAGGACTCCTCTGTTTTAGATGACTGGAATGGCTCAGTTTCCATCGGCATGGAAGCAGTTGGATCTGGTTTTTCATGGTCTTTATATGAGTCTTTGGGAGATTTCTGACTTTCTTCTGTGAGAACTTTCTGTGACTCCTCTTTCTTGGATTGTTCATTTGGGAGGTTTTTCATTGACTCTTCTTTTGAGGTCTCTCCTTTCGAGAGATTTTTAATCGACTCTTCTTTTGCTGACTCATCTTTTGGAAGATCTTTCATCGAATCTTCTCTTGCAAAATCTTTTGATGATTCTGTGTTTGGGAGATCTCTCATTGCTTCTTTCGAGAAGTCTTCCGTTGACTTTTCAATTGATGTCTCTTCTTCTGAGAGATGTTTCATCGACTGATCTTTTGCTGGCTCATCTTTTGAGGGAATTTTCACTGACTCGTCTCTTGCAAGATCTTTTGTTGACTCTTTGTTTGGGAGATCTTTCATTGATTCTTCAGGCAGTGTTGATGTATTTACTTCAGTAGCATCCATATTGTCACTATTGGGAGATTTTTTATTGTCAGTCACTTCTTCAGAACCAGGTGTCTTTTCTGACTGTTCACTTACTGATGAGGGCTTTTCTTCTCCAGGGGTCTTTTCGTGAGATTGAGAAGTTTCAAATTTTTCCTTGTTCTCTTCTGCAATGGCAGCACAGGATTCCTCAGGCTTCTCCACTTCCATCTGCTCTTCAGCACAAGATCTGCTTTCATTTGTGTCCATCTTCTCTTCTGTCTGGTCATCCTTTCTCTCTCTGGATTTATCTGAAACAAGAGGGAGATTTTCTGACTTGTTCTCTTCTGTGCTTTCTTTTTGAAGACTCTCTGACCCTTTTTGCGTTTCACTCTCAGATGGTGTAAAGTGAGGGACATGGCCGTTGATCTTTTCAGCACTCGATCTGCTGTCATCAAAACATGTCCGTGATTCTTTCACCGGAGCGACAGGAGCATTTCGTACTCCCGTGCTGTTGCTGTCGAAGTCTTCACTTAGATTCATTTCCCGCTTTTTCAGGGGGATTTTAGCTTGATGGTCATTTTTCAAAGCTCTCTGAGTCTCTTCTAAAGTTTTTCTTTTCACGTCCTCTGTCTGTTCCGCATTTTGTGAAGGTGTTGACAAGTCCTTGGCTTTCTCCTCCTCATCCTGTGGCTCTTCTTTGATCGATCCAGTAATAACGCCAGTGCCATTTGCCGTCTCCGAATGTTTCTGCAGCTCTTCCTTCACCTTCAAGCCTTTTTCCAACAAAGCATCTGTGGTCTCTGCATCTTCTTGCTTTGCATTGTCCTTCTCCAAGATGTTTTCCTTATTTTCAGATGTGGATAAATCATTTTGTGACTTCTCATCTCTGAATTCCACTAGAAGTCAAAAATACAGAGTTACAAATACAAAACAAATCAGTAATCTGTGTTCAGTCAATACTAAATATTATTTTTTCCTTTTAGATACCTTCAGCTCCCTCTTTCTTCTTATTCTCTTCATTGTCTGGGTTTGGACTGTTACTAGATGAGCCCTCCTCCTGATCCTTCTTTACCAAAAGTGCTGGATCAATATGAGTCTTCAACAGACCAAGGATTTGAGCTAGGTCATCTCTATTTCTGAAATAGAAAATAAAGGATTTTGTTTAAAAGATGTATCTGTTATTGTCATTTGGCATTATTGTTTTTTTTCTGACAAATTAACAGCCATCCAGAACAGGGAGATAAAAAAAGTATTATTTTATGAAGAAGTGGATTTAATTCCACTGGAAATTGATGCCTACCTTTTTTATTTATTTTATTTATTTAGTTATTTATTAGCCGCTTTTATCCAAAGCGACTTACAAATGAGGACAACAAAAGCAATCAATTGTAGTATTAAAACAACTAAAAACAGATCCAAAACTAAAAGCTAAAACTTTATAAATACTATCTATACACATTTTAAAAATAAAGAGATTAAATAAAAATGACAAATGCATACAACAAAATTTCAAAACTTAACATTTAAATGAAAAACAAAAAAATAAAGCTAAAAACAATTCAAAATAGTAAAGAACAAAAGGTATAAGAGTATAATAATGATTCTAACATAACACTAAGTCAAACACCAAAAAAAACAACTACATTATATGTGTATGTAGACTATGTACAACCATACACACATACATATATACTGTATATGTACATACACATTTATAAATTCAATATATATATATTATTTAATTTCCATTTAGATTGTTGAAGTATTAAAATAACTCAAATTAAATGAAACTAAAAACTTAATAAAAGACCTATACAGACATAATAAATTCAGACATAATGTAACTAAAATTAAAATAAATAACAAATACAAATAATACAAATCAAATGACAGATGACCTACCTTACTATACACTTCCAGGATGACCCATCCAGATCATCCTGTTCTTCCACATAGACCCTCACATTATCGTCTTGATCTAGCTGGAACCAGTACATGAGGCCATCTTTGTCTCTGCCGATGGGCTGAAGACGCATTTTATCCGGGTCCTCTTCATTGATAGTGGTTTTAAACTTGACATTGTCATCAAACTGGCATTCGCACAAGTACTGTTTGAAAAACAAAACATTGTCAAGTTACATTGGGTTAATAAAAAAGAAATACATTACAAATGCAACAACAGTTTTTACGAATGAATATTAGGTTCCAGTGCAAATTAATCCAGTGGTGTGACATTACAGATTTTCCCATTTTACCTTCAGTATTCCTGTCTTACACTCCACTGTCATCTCTTGATAACCCTTCTTTTCCATCTCCCATGCCCATGTGGTGTTAAACTCCTGACAGATCTACAGAGTAATAAAGCCATCAAAAATTAAACACTGATGAGACTAATATTGACTGTCAATTGCTCACTGTGCTCATAGCTATTCACATATTCATTATGAAATGATCCATAATTCACAGCTGTTTCAATGTGATTGTTAAAAGCAGAATGTGCGGCATATGATGAGTCACTTAAAGGGGCCATATGATGTGATTTCAAGTTTTCCTTTCTCTTTGGAGTGTTGCAAGCTGTTCGTGAATAGATAAGATCCCTAAAGTTGCAAAGACTAAAGTCTCAAACCCAAAGAGATATTCTTTATAAAAGTTAAGACTCGTCCACTCCCTCCTAAAACGCCTCTTTAAACACGCCCCCACATGTCTACGTCACTGTGTGAGAAGATTTGCATAACGCCGCCCAAATGTTCACGCAAAGAAAGGAGGAGTAAATTTTTGTTGCTGCCGCCTCCATGTCGTGAAGATGCTGTGTGTTTCGTTGCGAAAGCGAAAATACTTTGTTTGGCCTTCCAAAAGAGGACAACTAGAAATCAGTGGTTAAGTTGTATTTACAACACTGTTCCAGAACAGTTCAACCCAAAATTCAGATGTGTGCAGCGCATTTTATGGAGGACTGTTTCCTGATCCTGGGAGAGTAGACTACAATGCCGGCTGTTCTGACTCACAGTCTGTAAGTATGTTTTCATATTTAAAGTCCCCATGAAATCAAAATTAAAGTTTTTTGGGTGTTAGTATCAATATGCTAGTCTTAAGGTTATCTAGAAGGCAGTGTGCTCCAAAACAGTGACAAAATTCGGATTTAGAAGATATAAGCATTCAAAGCTTGCAGTTCCGTCACTTCTGCCAAAATGGATCAACGATTTTTTGACATCACCTCGTACTTCAGCTTCTCATCAAATCTTCTGACCAATCAAATGCTCTCTAAAATCCGAAGCGCCCACCCCCTACAATATAAATAGATGCTGAAGCTGTGGCTGAGATCGGTCACTTGATCACAGTGTAGTATTTTCTGTACAGTGAATGGCACGTAGTGCACAATGTAGGCGATAGGGAACGATTCACAGTGTAAATATGCTTTCCATTGGGGCAAATGAGGTCTGGTAATCTATTAGACTGTGGCTGTCAAATGCGGTTTTACCGAGCTCAACGGCTCTGATGCGTGCAGATATAAACTAAAACGTTATTGGCTAATTTAAAAAGGGGGCGGGGCTGCTCGATATGTCCCGCCCTGTCTTGCTGTTTCAGTTGAAATTACGTCACCACATAGAATAACACTGCGTGTTTCAAGGCACTTCAGGGGACCTTTAAAGAATTTGCCACTGATGATTCAAACGCGAGTTTTGAGCAGTGTAGAGTAGCGCTTGTTGTTTGTCATTTCTCCGATCACAAATGCAGACATGGTTTTATTGATTACGCGGCGCGATGCAACGCAATGCGTAAAAAGACAGTATTAGTCATTATAATCCGTAATTATGTCCCCACTGGATGCAACAAATGCCTCGTTTGTAATGGGTTTTAATGTTTTTGCCTCAACAAGGCATCACAATATGGTAAGGGGCGTAACATTTCCGTCACACGCTTGAGGTATTCAGCCAATCACAACGCACTGGATAGCTGGCCAATCAGAGCACACCTCGCTTTTCAGACCGATGAGCAAATGTAAAAATCGACGCGTTTTAAGAAAGGCGGGGCATAGAGGAGCAACAATAATGTACAGTATGTGGAAAATAATGTGTTTTTTTAACCTTAAACCGCATAAACACATTACATTAAACCAAATACACAAAATAAAGTTATTTTTTAGCAACGTCATATGATCCCTTTAATACTTAATTCATTGTTAACACCGATTTACTCACCTTAATGAGATTCTTCTCCCATCTGTCTGCAGACACGGACTTGCCAATTTTCCTCAGTAACTTCACGTGAAGGTCCACAAGAAGTTTTGGTACTGGGCACACAGAGTTAGAAGCATAATTAGAATTTACACAGCCATAACACAATTTGTAAGGTTTTAGGTCAGTGGTTCGCAAACGGTTGTCTTTGATGAATCTCAAGTGGTCTGTAAGTCAGTTTGTGGATTAAAAAAATTACACATCATAAAATGACATTTAAATGACTGTTAATTGTTAACTGACTGATAGGGCTGCACGATAAATCTAAATGGAATCGAGATCGCGATTCGACAGAAGCTGCGATTGTCATGCGTATCTTTCA